ACTTACCCGTAAAAAAATTTTGGCGGGCTCTCACGTGGGTATCACGCGAGTAGGACCGCCGATTTTGAGGATTGGCGCCCGTACGTGTGTGTAGATTAAGTCCCCAAAGTTTCACCCTGTGGCTTTTGTCGGTCTCGAAATGAAAAATCGGCACAGACGCCCTGCGCACACACAGGCACACACACACACGCACACACACACATACACACACACACACACATAGACAACCTATCGTCAGTATGCATTTTCCGTATTGCATAGCTGCAAAAAACGCATAAAAAGCATATTGTCGAGAGGTATTTCGTGCGTGTGTGTCTCTGTGTTCGTCCATACCGATTTTTCATCTCGAAACTACAAAACAGAGAAGTTTGGGAGCTTAACCTACGTGCATGTACAAGTTTTTATCTCCTTAGTAGACGCTGTTGCCCACTTGGTCCCCACGTACGGGCCCGCGAAGGCTTTCGGCGGGTAACTTGCTAGATCGATAGCCTGAAAAGGACGGAATTTTAGAGGGTTTTTTGGCAATTATAGTGGCCAGTCTCAGTCCTCTCAGCTAAAAACATTTGTCGGCATACAGCTAAGAACAGGTGCCGCTGATGCCGAAACTGATTTTTGAATGCTTTTCAAAAATAACTTCTAAGGCTGGCAACTTAGCATGGAGGATGGCATAATTCGCAGTCCTCTTTGTTTAGAATTTTAGTGTGAAAATGAACTGTGGATCAGGAGCAGATCAAACTGAGATGTTATGCGATGCCGAACTTTCTTGAACGCCGCCGAAATTTTCAGAAACTTTAGACACAAACGACGCCGATTTCCGGACTGAATTGCTGACTGAAAAGCCATCGGTTAACAGTGTGAGCCTGAATTTGGTGTCATTTGTATTCGCCCAAGTGAGCATTTCACTTTCGTACTTGGATCTTGGTGCTAAATCTCAGGGCATTCCTGCTGGAAGCTGCTCCTCATAACAAAAGAGATCAAGCGTGAAATTTTTACGCGTCTTTTTTTTGCATCTATGCAATGCAGAAAACGCATACTGACGAGGTGTGTGTGTGTGTGTGTATGTGCCAATGTGTGTGTGTGTGTGCCAATGTGTGTGTGTGTGTGTGTGTGTGCCAACGTGTGTGTGTGTGTGCCAGTGAGTGTGTGTGTGTGCCAGTGAGTGTGTGTGTGCGCGCGCCAATGAGTGCGTGTGTGTGCCAATGAGTGCGTCTTTACCGAGTTTTTATCTCGAGAGCTACGAAAGCTACAAGACTGGAACTTCAGGATCTTAAACTGCATGCACGTACGAGC